GGAGCGTGCCCTACTTGCTAAAAATTTGGGTTGCAAGCGAGTAGTGTCGCGCAAGGAATTTTCAGAGAACATGCAGGATATAATCACTGAAGCGATTAGTTCAACAGACACATCATGTACCCAAACTAAGTATGATTAACGAAAACAAATTTCCATGATATGATACAGTCAAAGAACACTGTATACGCGCTTGCCTTTGGCGCACATCCTGACGATGTAGAGCTCTGCGCTTCCTCTACACTTCTTAAAATTATGCAGGAGGGGCATTCTGTTGCGGTGTGTGATTTAACATTAGGCGAATTAGGAACTCGAGGAAATGCAAAATTAAGAAAAGTAGAAGCTGCGGAAGCAACAAGACAAATGAATTACACAAGGCGCATTTCATTAAATCTTGGTGATGGTACATTTGAAAACACTCACGAAAACCGACTTGAAGTTATTAAAATCATTCGTTACTTTCGTCCGACGGTCGTTTTTGCCAATCCACCAGAGGAGCGTCATCCTGACCACAAACGAGCGTCGTCCCTTGTTTCCGATTCTGTTTTTTATTCGGGTCTTTCCAAAATAAAAACAAAATTTAGTAAAATAGAACAATCCCCATATCGTCCAACCTATATGCTTTATTATATCCACGACAGATTCACAATGCCGTCAATCATTGTTGATGTGTCGGCAACATTTGAGGAATCACGGAAAGCGGTTTTAGCTTTTAAGTCGCAATTTTATTCTCCTAAAGCGACAGAGCCAGAAACTTATATTAGCCGATTAGATTTTTTGGATTCTATCGAAGCTCGTGCAAAGGTTTTAGGAGAAGCAATTGGTGCAAAGTATGGGGAGGGATTTATTCTAAAGAAAACACCGGGCGTTTTTAGTTTTTATGACCTTTTTCCAATACGTAACGTAATTAATTAATTTAATTCGTTTTTTTATGATGTTTTTTCGTAAATTCACAGAAACAAGACCATGTGTTGTGTTGTCTCAAACTAAAATCAAAATCCAGAAATCATGTTAAAATACAAAGCAGATAGGAGGACCGTAGTTTTTCTTTTATTGGTAGCAGTTCTTTTTTTCGTTCAGTGGCTTTATTTGGAAAGGTGGAATCCGTTCCTTTATGTTGTTTATTTGTATTTTTCCATCACTGTTTCTGTAATTGCTCACAATCAGAACCACGTTCCTATGTGGAGGTCTAAGTTCATGAATGATATTACAGATTATTGGATTACTGCGTTTTATGGCTTTCCAACATTTGCATGGATTCCAACACACAATAAAAATCACCATAAGTTTAATAACAAGGACGGAGATTATACAATAACTTACCGCGTAACGGAAGGAAATCATATCGGGTCACTGTCCTCTTACCCACCCGTAAGTAGTTATTTTCAACAATCACCTATAAAGGAATATCTTGTCAAAACATGGAAAAAGGACAAGTCTTTATTTTTCTTTTACATCGGGCAGTATGCGTTGCTTGCTACGATGTATGCCGTCGGCTTTTGGATTGACTGGCGAAAAGCCTTGCTTTATATGATTATTCCACACCAGGTCGCATTAAATACGGTGCTTATTTTCAATTACATTCAGCATGTGCATGCTAATGAGATGTCTAAATTTGACCATTCAAGAAACTTTGTTAGCAAACTCACACAACTCATGCTATTCAATAATGGTTTGCACACGGCTCATCATGAAAATGCAACGATGCATTGGAGTTTATTGCCAGAGGCACACGCAAAAATCGCAGACAAAATTTCACCTGAACTAAATCAAAGAGGCTTTTGGCCTTACATAATTAAGACCTATATATTGGGGATATTTTTCAAGAAATTCAGAACCACGTCTATGAGACTTGAAAGAATCGCTCGAGAGAAAAGCATTGGGCTTTCTGCAAAGTAAAATGTTCGACACTTGCGTCACATTTCCAAATAGCTCAATCGGTGGTAACTTTTCGTCTGCCACCGTTTTTAATTCGTAGAAGTAGATCCACTTATATCTATGGAAATAAACTGTGTTGGTTCTTGCACGAGTTTACGAAACGGCAGTTAAACCCCACAAATTTAATACATATAATTTCAACAAATAAATTATGAGTACGGTACTTTCATGCATTCAACCCACAAATGAAATGCACTTTGGAAATTATTTTGGAGCAGTGAAAAACTGGGTATCCCTCCAAAATAACTATAAATGCTTTTATGGTGTTGTGGATTATCACGCAATGACAATGCCATATAACCCAAAGGAATTACTAAACAACACCTTAACGATGGTTATTGACCTGTTAGCGTGCGGTATAAATCCCGATAAATCAACGGTATTCATTCAATCACTTTGCCCTGAACATACTGAATTAGCATGGATTTTAGGGTGCTTTTGTTCCTACGGAGAATTACAACGAATGACGCAGTTTAAAGATAAATCCGAAAGTGAAAAACTACAGGAAAGGGGAGCCATTGTTTCGACAGGTTTATTCACATATCCTATACTTCAATGTGCTGATATTTTAATTTATAGAGCAGAATATGTTCCTGTGGGAAAGGATCAAGAGCAGCATTTAGAACTTTCAAGAACCTTGGCAAATCGTTTTAATAATAAACACGGTGATTTTTTTAAGGAGCCTAAGGCATTATTTACCGAGGTTCCAAAATTACTGTCATTGGCAGATCCGACAAAAAAAATGAGTAAATCATTAGGCGATCCGCATTGCTTACGTCTTTTTGAAGATGAAGCAAGTATAAGAAGAAAGGTAAGGACTGCTGTTACTGACGTAGGCCCAGAAAAAGGACAAATGAGTTTAGGTATTGAAAATTTATTTGAACTTCTTAAAGCATCTGATAAAATAGAAGCTCACCATTCACTAATGGAGAGTTACAACAACGGAACGCTAAAATACTCGGATCTTAAAGAAACTGTTGCTAACGGTTTAGTAGAATTATCAAAAAAATTTACAGACAAAAAAAATGAGCTAATTAAAGACGAAAACCTGATTAAGGAACAAATTTACGAAATGAGTATCACTGCAAGGCGTTACGCAAAAGAGACTTTGAGTGAAGTGAGAGAGCTTGTGGGTCTTCCAAAGTTACATTAGTTTATTTGATTTATTACTTTGGGCACTTTAAAAAATCTATCTTGAAAATCAGGGGCGTTTTTTCTTAATTCTTCGAGACGAATATTTTCTTTGATTTCGTCCTCCCTTAGCACGTGGTCTTCATCCGTCATAAACATAAGCGGCTCAACATGTTCTGTGTCGAGTTTGTTAAGTGTCTCCATATAAGCAAGAATGGTGTTAAGATCTTTTGTCATTTCCCCTCTTTCCTCCCCGGTAAAAGAAAGGCGGGCAAGTTTAGCAATGTAATCTACATCTTTTGGGGTTACAGACACTTTTTGCTTGTTTAGAGTTGAGACATAAATTCTATGAGTAGTCGAACACCAAATCCGGGTAATGCTTGTCCGCCGCCATTTCCAGAACTGTTCGTAAATTTAGGAATTGCGGTTCCCGCAATATCGAGATGTGCCCAAGCTGTGTGCTCACCTGTAAATTTTTCAAGAAACTTTGCAGCGGTTACAGCGCCTGCTCCGCCCGTTCCTGTATTTTTAACATCGGCAATTGTAGAGGTAATTTGCTTTCCGTATTCTTTCCAAAGGGGCAAACGCCATACTTTTTCTCCTGATCTAATTCCAGCATTAAAAAGTTTAGTTACAATGTCCTCATTATTTGAGAAAAGTCCCGCTGCGTGGTGCCCCAATGCCACAACGCAAGCACCTGTCAAGGTAGCAAGGTCTATCATAATGTCGGGACGAATAACTTTTTTTGTGTAGGCGATTGCATCTGCCAAAATAAGCCTCCCCTCCGCGTCCGTATTATCAACCTCAACAGTAATACCTGAATAGGTTGTAATAACATCGCCTGGATTTTGTGCTGATCCGCTTGGCTTGTTATCTGTTGCAGGAATAACGCCAAAAATATGTAAAGGTAATTTTAATTGGGATGCAGCTTCTAAAGCACCAATCACAGCCGCTGCACCTGCCATATCCGCTTTCATTTCTCCCATACCCTGAGATGGCTTTATCGAAATTCCACCTGTATCGAAAGTTACACCTTTGCCTATTAATGCTACTTTTAGTCTCGCTTTACCTGATTTATACTCCAAAATATTGAAAGTAGGAGGCTCAACACTACCTTTATTTACTGCTATCAAGCCCCCAAAATTCATTTCTATAATTTTCTGTTTATCGAAAACAACTGCTTTATAGCCGCTTTTCTTTGCTGAATTCTGAATGTACTTTGACAAATCGGTTGCAGATAAATGATTGCTCGGTGCATTTACTAAATCACGGACGTTGAATTGTGACTGAACAATTGCTTTTGCAACTTCGATGCTCTGTTCTACTTTTGCTTGCATTGAATTTTTTAAGTGCGCGGTAAAAGACACTTTTTGATACATGTCCATTGCCTTCAAAGCATTGTCTCTTTCAGAAGTATCAGAGTTTTCTGTCTTAAACCTGTCATATTCATAAAACGCCATCAAAAAACCTTCAATAATAGTCTGAAATGTATAACTCACGGTGTCAGACGCTTGAACAGACAACTCGTTTAGAGAGGTTAAGTCGAGAGACACTTTCTCCAATTTTAATTTTTTTACATGCGAAGCATACGCACCCACAGCCTCTCTTAAAACATCTAAGGTAGATGCTTCTCCCGTTCCAATTAAAGCTACACGCGGTGTAATTTGATTTAACGTGTAAAAAACAGAAACATCACCCTCTTTTGCCTTAAAATCCGACCCAAATTCGCCTAACCTAATTTGAAGGTGACTTTCTATTCTGCCTAGTTGATTTACTTTATCTTTTTGGTTGATAAAAAACCCAATTATTTCGGTTGGGCTATTCAAAAATACTTGTGTTGAAATATTTACGTTCATCGGTTTTCCTTTAAAATTTAACTAAATTCAAACTTTCAACTTTTGTGTCATAACAAAACCCAAAGCACGTCAAGTTTGTGGACAGAGAGGGAATTGAACCCCCGACACGAGGATTTTCAGTCCTCTGCTCTACCAACTGAGCTATCTGTCCATGATCAAGAATCGAAACGCCCGATACAACCCACACTTTTATCCCTTCTCGCACACTTTTACCTATTAGACACTCCTCTCGGCTAAAAATGAACACAAATATAAATTAAAAATTTCATTCCAAAAACCATTCTGTATTATTTATTTGATTTTATTAATTACATGTTTTCAAATTTGCCTAACATGAGCATTATATGTTGTTTATCATTTTAAGAACGTTTTTAGTTATTTATTAGTTATGGACAAAGACATTGAAAGTATCTTTAGATCCGCTAAAACAGCGGCAAGGGATTTAGTATCTTATTCAGACGCTCAACGCGAAGACTTTATTTACAGCATTGCTAATGAATTAGAAAAAAATATACCTTTAATCGTAGAAACCAATAAGCGTGATTCTGAACTTCTGAATGACGACGATCCCAAAAAGGACCGACTTATTTTGAATGAAGAACGGATTCGTTCTATCATAAATGCTTGTAGAAATGTCGCCCAATTACCTTCACCAATAGGTCAGGTTGCCATCCAAAAAAATCTTAAAAATGGACTCTTTCTACAAAAAGTATTGGTACCGTTTGGAGTTGTGTGTGTCATTTTTGAATCCAGACCCAATGTAACGATAGATATTTCTGTCTTATGTCTTAAAGCGGGATGTTCCACGATTCTTCGGGGTGGTAAAGAAGCAGTTCATTCCAATCGATTACTTACTTCGCTAATTCAAAACGGGATTAGACAATGCCATGGAAATCCACTTGCGGTGCAATTTTTGCCTACAGATCGTACGTATTTGTCCCAACTTCTATCTGCAGATAAATTTATTGATTTAATTATACCACGCGGGTCGCAAGAGCTTATTTCTTTTGTTCGCAAGCATTCAACAATACCATCTATTGAAACAGGAGCAGGTGTGTGCCATACCTACATCCATAAAGAGGCAGACCTCTCCAAAGCTGCACGCATTGTTGACAATGCGAAACATCAAAGACCAAGTGTATGCAACGCACTTGACACTATGCTACTCGATGAAGAAATCGCATTACCATTTCTAAAAAAAATCGCGCCCCTATTTTCAAACCATAAAACAGGCATTTGGGCAGATGACAAAGCATATTCCATCTTAAAATCTCTTAATTACCCTAATCTTCATCCTGCCACCGAAGATTCTTTTGGAATGGAATACTTAAGCCTGAATTGTTCTGTAAAAGTGGTTTCTAATTTGGAGGAGGCTCTTTCTCATATTGAGTCGTATTCATCTAAACATTCCGAAGCTGTCATCTCAGAAAATAAGGAAATATGCCTAAGATTTATCAATGAAGTTGACGCGGCCGCTGTATTTACCAACGCCTCAACTCGATTTACTGACGGTGAAGTATTCGAATTAGGTGCCGAAATCGGAATTTCTACTCAAAAGCTTCATGCACGAGGACCCTTTGCTATCGAAAAATTAGTTACCGAAAAATGGATTATTCAAGGTAATGGACAAATTCGCTAACCCAAAGTCCGCCTTAAAAAATAACCACATCTGTGTTATTTTTAATATCATTAAAAAATACCATAACAACTTAAAGAGCTACATGTGAATCAAACAACCATTCAGAGTGAATTTTTCTATTACAAAAATCAAATACTCCATGTTGAAGGCATATCTGTTGTCGATTTGGTAAAACAGTTTAACTCACCTATTTTTATTTACAGTCAATCGCATATTGAAGCACGATATAAGCGATTTCTAAATGCGTTTAAAGAGTTAAAAAAAACTAAAATTTTTTATGCAGTTAAAGCAAATTTCAACCTCGACATTATCCGAACACTATTACGTCTTGGTGCAGGAATGGACGTTAATTCAGCAGGCGAACTATTTCGGGTAATAAAGGCAGGCGCTTTACCAAAAAACGTGATTATGTCTGGCGTAGGAAAGACTCATGAAGACATTAACGCCGCAGTTGAAGCAGGAATAAAGTTAATTAAAATTGAAAGTCTTTCCGAACTACACTATTTAGAAACGATTTCCTCCTTAAAACAAAAGCGCATCGACATCGGCATTCGCGTTACACCAGGCGTAGACGCAAAAACCAATCGCCATATAACGACAGGCTCCCGTACCGTGAAATTTGGAATCGAACCCGAATTAGTTATTTCAGAAATTATCCCATTTCTGCAAAGATCAAAATGGCTCTCATGCACAAGCGTCGACATGCACATAGGTTCTAATATTTTTAACACCCAATCTTACGCTGATTCAATTAATATAATTTTGAAACTGTGCCACACGTTAAGAAAATCGTACCATATTAATATTCAATCTATTGATGTCGGGGGTGGGTTCTCCGTCACCTACAATGAAAACAGTATTGAAGTCCCTATCGAAACCTACGCACAAGAAATTGTTCCACTGCTAAAAGACGAAGACGCAGAAATTTTCTTCGAACCTGGACGCTACATCGTAGGAAATTCTGCCTTAATTGCAACTACTGTGCTTTATACAAAATCAACCTTAAACCAAAAAAAGTTTATCGTCATCGATGCAAGTATGACAGAACTTATTCGACCATTACTTTACGATGCACATCACGACATTATTCCTGCTACTCTTTTTCATGAAAAGAATGTAATTGCCGACATCGTAGGACCCGTTTGCGAAACAGGCGACTTTCTTGCGCTTAACAGAAGTATTGCAAACGTTTTAGAAGGAACTATCCTTGCCATTATGTCAGCCGGCGCGTATGGCAGCGTGATGTCAAGTAACTACAACGGACGGCCAAGGATCGCTGAAATTCTTGTCTCGGGAAGCAAAGTAACCTGCATAAGAAAACGTGAAACGTTAGAACAACTTATCCAAAATGAAAATTTATGAACATCGGAATAGTTGGAATCGGCTTAATTGGTGGTTCTATAGGACTTAAACTTATGGAAAAACATACCATTTATGGATATGACACAAATGAAAACCATAAGAAAATAGCAATTGAAAAAAAAATGGTACATTTCGTACATGACTTCCAAGAGTTAATCCAAAAATGCCATTTTATCATCGTTTCCGTGCCCGTTCATAACGCACCTCATTTAGTTAAAGAAATCCTTGATAAAGCAAGCAACATATTAGCTGTTATAGATGTCGGTTCGACTAAACAAGGTATCTGCGATTTTCTCAAAAACCATCCTAACCGAAATAAATTTGTTGCAACTCATCCTATGGCAGGAACCGAAAACTCAGGCCCAGAAGCAGCGTGCAAAAATTTATTCCGTGAAAAGAAGGTCGCTTTTTGTGATATAGAATACTCTTCAAACGAGGCACTCTCTCTCGCAAACTCAATTTATGATTTTCTGGGCATGAACATTATTTATACCCAAGCAAAACACCACGACGAACAAATCGCATTCACTTCGCACTTGTGCCATATTACATCATTCGCTTACGCTTTAACTGCCTTAGAAAAGGCAAAAACAGATAAAAAACTATTTGACCTCACTTCAAGTGGCTTCTTTTCTGCTTCACGCCTTGCTGTGAGCGCTGCCTCAACGTGGGTGCCTATACTCATTGAAAACAAAGATGCGGTTACAGATGCCCTAAAAATGTACAAAGCATATATTGACGATTTTTTGAAGAAAATTGAAGCAGGAAATAGAACTGAATTACAAAAACTTATTGACCAGGCAAATCTTATTAAAAACATTAAAAATACGGGTACATAATGTACGGACAAATTGCGACCTGTACCTACAAAAACACAAACCCCCACGACAAACATCATGGGGTATTATGATAAAAAGAAAGTAACCCTTTCAATACACTTTCACGTTATCTGCCTCTTCAATTAACCGCTCTCCCACTTGCTTCAAAAGAATCATTCCTGCTCGCTTTGCCTCTTCTTCTGCTTTCGGTTCAAACGATATTCCCGCTAACGCTATATACATCTCTAACTTCGCATCTCCAGGGAACGACTGCCTAAAATTATTTATCTTTCTCTCTTGCATTTTACTCACATCCTCCTTTCTTACGCGATGCTTACACTCAACCAACACCCCTTTTGTCCCGTTCTTCATCACAATATCAAACTCATCATCCTCACCCGATTCATTGCGCCCTTTAAGGTTCCTTTCACAGTATTCAAACTGTATGTTTGCCACACTCATTCTGCTTTTCAGTGTATTGTAAAAGTATTCTTCTACGCCCGAGCCAACATTGAACCCAAAACGGTTCATCATTGATTCTGTTTTCCTAATCTGCACCCATAATGATTCAATTTTTTCGGACAACGCTTCTATCTTCACAGATACCTCTTCATCCCTCTTCTTCAACCGCTCTTCAAACTCCTCATTCCTCTTCTTCCTTTCCTCTTCATTCTTCACCCTCGCCTCCTCCTCCTTCTTCAACCGCTCATTAAACTCTTCATGACTCTTTCTCAACCGCTCATTAAACTCTTCATGACTCTTCTTCCTTTCCTCTTCATTCTTCACCCTCGCCGCCTCCTCCTTCTTCAACCGCTCCTCAAACTCCTCATTCCTCTTCACCCTCGCCGCCTCCTCCTTCTTCAACCTTTCTTCTAACTCTTCATTCCTCTTCACCCTCGCCTCCTCCTCCTTCTTCAACCTTTCTTCTAACTCTTCATTCCTCTTCACCCTCGCCTCCTCCTCCTTCTTCAACCTTTCTTCTAACTCTTCATTCCTCTTCACCCTCGCCTCCTCCTCCTTCTTCAACCTTTCTTCTAACTCTTCATTCCTCTTCACCCTCGCCTCCTCCTCCTTCTTCAACCTTTCTTCTAACTCTTCATTCCTCTTCACCCTCGCCTCCTCCTCCTTCTTCAACCTTTCTTCTAACTCTTCATTCCTCTTCTTCCTTTCCTCTTCATTCTTCACCCTCACCTCCTCCTCCTTCTTCAACCGCTCCTCAAACTCCTCATTCCTCTTCACCCTCGCCTCCTCCTCCTTCTTCAACCTTTCTTCTAACTCTTCATTCCTCTTCTTCCTTTCCTCTTCATTCTTCACCCTCGCCTCCTCCTCCTT